GAGAATACCAGATCTCTCTTTATATGCGTAAATTTAAACAAAAAATTTTTAGAGGAAATTTTAAACATTTTATGAGTAAACTGTCAAATTGTGAACAATAAATGTATAGGTTAGGTTAGGTTAGGTAAGCGGGCTGCCTCCGCATAGGCACACTCCGCATAGGGACTCGACTAATCTGTCCGTTGTGATGCCCTCAGACGGGGGAGGGAAAAAAGGGTCGCAGGAAGGGTAGGGGAAAGAGGGAGGAAGCTATGACAGAAATACGACCTATGGCTTTTTGCCGGAGAAACGCTCAAATTTAAAATTGTGCCAAATTTTTCAGAAAAAATGTGCCTAAATGCAAGTCAATGTGCCAATAAATTAAAAATCGTGGAGGTACCATTTGCTTTACAGTACTTATTGCATACATAGGCACGTCCCGATACCATCAAAGTATCGATACCTACTTAAACGAGTTTACGCAAACCGTTATTTCGATACTAAATACTTATATGAGCAAACCGAAAGTATCGATACCTACTTATATCGATAATTTTCCATCCTTTTATATGCAACAAAGCAAAAGTGATTTTCCGGCGTTTATCTGTGACATATGTACCTTTTGCGTTATGGGCTTTTCAGGCAAAGTCTGAAAAGACACGACGCATAGCGACAAATTTTATATGACACGGCCTAAAGACCTACACGGTTAAACATTTCGGTTTTAATTTTGAACTTTTTGGACTACATATATGACCCAACTTAATTTAGTTTCAAATACAAAATATCCAAGTTTCAAAAAAAAAGAGCACATATGTTGAGTTTAGAGTCTAAATAGTTCGGATTAAATTTTAAACCCAAATATTTTCTATTTCGTTTGCTTCACGTTACACTTTACGAAAGCTTTTTCATAATCTATATATGTATATAAATGTGAATGTCTGCTTGTTTATTACCTTATAACTTTTGAACCGCGATAGGGAATCGCACAAAACTTTTCACACTTATTTGTTTCTATCCCCGGAACTGGAAAATGGAGCGTGGCACCTGCCATACTAACTAAAATTTTCATGTTGTATATCTCTTAAAATATTTGAGGTAGAGTACTGGAACTTGGTGACGAGATATATGAAATTAATTCCATACTCATGGGAAAAAATGGGCGGAATTGGAAAAGGGGGCGGAATTGGAAAAGGGGGCGTGCCACTTCCTGTAGGCGTGAAATATTTAATCAGCTATAACTTCGGAACCGTAAGTCACATGAACTTGAAATTTGGTATGCAGGCATATCTATGGTAGGTGCTTTTAGTAAGGTATATATTAGAGTGGTCCACAAAATCCTTTCTTTCAATATTATTCAGTGCTCACGCAAATTTGTGTTCCTTTTGCTAAAAAATTAAAGTACATAACTTGATTTAAAAAAATAATAAAATTTAGAGGTCGCTCAAGTCGATTTTTGTATTGCTTAAAATTACTCGTCCTTCGATCCGTGCGCACGCGAAATTCCTCTGGAAATTTAAGTTTCCTAAGATCTTATAATGTGCTTTCGAGGCCGCTGAATACACTAGGAGAGTTATTTTTTCGATCCGGCTCTTACCTTTTTAGATAATACAAATAAATAATAAAAAAAGGGGGAAAAAACCCAAAATTTAACTTTAAAATGTGATTATTTCTTAGAAATAATTTATTTGATTTTACGTCAATGATGATGTGTATAGCCACAACCGAGTCACTAGTAGGCTTGGCACTTTTATATTTCCGTGTGTCAATCGAAGAGAAGAAACTAATGGTACTAGCTCTGCAGAAAGATTCCAGCAACAAAGTTTTAAGACGTATTTCTGTCGAAAAAAATAAGATCTTAGACATAAGGTTGTCAGATTTTATATCTGAAGAGAGTACAAAAATCTTTACTGCGAATAACATTTCACTGAATTTTATAAATAGAGATCCCATACACTGGGAAGAAGATAAAACATTCATATCGTCTCGACAAAGATTGCAAAATTTGAAGGTCGTTAATGATGTGGCGGAGAGAGGCGTGTCTTTGATTCAGAAATTCAATTCCATTCTCACAAATGATGACAATCAGAAACAGTGTTTGCTACAAGTTGTTGAAAACCATAGACAACAACATCCCATAATTTAAGGTTTCTTGCAATTTGTTTTAACATTGGAAAATAAAATATAAACTAATTTAATAATATCTACCAGCGACGTCTTAATTTTTTTATGTTAGGTCAAAGGAACACAAATTTTCGTGAGCCTGAATAATTAAAAAAAAATTAGTTTTATCCTCTCCTGTAATCGAGAAAATTTTATATTTTTCATATTTTTAGGTTTTTTTTTTTAAGTTGTCTCTCGATATTTGGGACGCACCGAAAACAAACTAGTTCAGCACACTCAGCGACCTTGAAAATATCAGATAACACCTCGAAAAAATTTCCAAAGGCCGAAAATTTAAAGCGGTACGTTTTTTAAATACAGACATCAGCCACGCATCTAGATTCAGGTTCAATAATATGCCGATATCTCGAGAAGTAATAAACGTAAAATCCTCTTCAATGACTCATTTTGTGCGCTAAGGTTGTGGCTATACACATCATCATTGGCGTAAAGTCAAATAAATTATTTCTAAGAAATAATCACATTTTAAAGTTCAATTTTGGGGTTTTCCCCTTTTTTTATAATTTATTCGTATTATCTAAAAAGGTAAGAGCCGGATCGAAAAAATAACTCTCCTAGTGTCACCGGCCTCGAAAGCACATTATAAGATCTTAGAAAACTTAAATTTCCAGAGGAATTTCGCGTGCGCACGGATTGAAGGCAATACAAAAATCGACTTGGGCGACCTCTAAATTTTATTATTTTTTTAAATCAAGTTATGTACTTTCATTTTTTAGCAAAAGGAACACAAATTTGCATGAGCACTGAATAATATTGAAAAAAGGATTTTGTGGACCACTATGGTATATATATAAATGGGTCTGTAAGAGGGGCCGTGGCACATCCCAAAGGCGTGGAATTTTTTATCAGCTATAACTTCGGTACCATAAGTCATAAACGTGAAACTTGGTATGCAGACATATCTATGGTACATAGGTGCTTATAGTAAGGTATTCATAAATGAGTTTGTAAAAGGGGGCGTGGCACATTTCATAGGCGTGGAATTTTTAATAAGACATAAAGACATAACTTCGGAACGATAAGTCACATGAACTTGAAATTTGCTATGCAGACATACCTATGGTAGGTGCTTATAGTAAGGTATACATGAGTTCGTAAAAGGCGGCGTGGGTCATCTCATAGGCGTGGAATTTTTAATCAGCCATAACTTCTGACAAGTGACATAAACTTGAAATTTGGTATGCGGACATATCTATGGAACATATGTAGGTGCTATAGTAAGGTATGTTTATATAATGAGTTTTTAAAAGGGGTCGTAGCGCATAACACAGGCTTTAAATGTTGTATCAGCCATAAATTCGGAACCACAATTTACTTGGCCTCTTTAATTCTTTCTGATATGCTTTTGAATTTACAGGACTCAGCAATGACAATAAACAAGAATTCCTTAAAGCAATACCCAAAACTTTATCGAAAATAAAATCTATGGTAATTGCATTGGAAAATGCATTTCTGTTAATAGAGGCTTCGAAGTATTAAAAACATACTGTACAATAATATTAGAGTCATTATTCCAAAGAAATTAGATAGCTAAAATTTTAATATAACAACATTGGTATTTCTACTATTACTTACATACGTATCGTCGTTTAAAGTGCAAGACCGCGTAACTTACATTTGCTGCCAAAAATTGGATTTGCACACACAAGCACTTGGCTCAATTCTTATCCATTCGTCCTGCAATATACTTGCCAGAAATGCGATTGATTTATAAAAAAGAGAACCATTTTGAAATATGAGTGTTTTTACTATCTAGAAAATAATTTATGCAACCTCACATGCGCGGTCTTCCATTATCTTGATACGCGGTTTTGCATTTTGTTGATACGCGGGTTTGTACTTTAAACGACGATATATTATTTATTGGAGATATTTTAATGTAAATAAAAACAGCTGCTGTGCCAAACAGTTATTATTACATTTCATTACACCCAAGATATACAACTGTCCTTCAGTATTCTCCTATAGTAAAATTAGAGCGGAAATAAAATACAACATCTTTACATAAATTATTTTTCATATTTGTATAAAGACTAAAAAAAGCTAGTTAAGAATAAAAAAAAATCTTAAATTTCATGTTCCGTCTGATGGGAATTGAACCCGGACAGCCTTGGTTGCAACCAATTTTATCAAGCATCTTTGCAGACTCAGCTACAGCCATGCATGCAAATGTGCTTTCACATCTTGAGTTTGAATCAACACCACATTTCGCTGTATTGATGCAGTCAGTTCATAGGATTTGCGCTCTCTCTCTCTGAGAGACACCCTTGTGCTTAAGTCCTATAGATCATATAAAATAAAGCATATTGAGGCAAACATTTTCTATTTCGGTTTAGATTTGAAACAAAATTTTCTATATATAAAACCTAGAAACTAGAATTAAAACATTTTGGTTTAATTTTTAAACAAATAGGGCCTATATTTGAAATCATGAATTTTTGGTTTTAATTTTAAACCACTTGTGTAGCCACCGAGGCTTTTCGGAGGCTAATTCTTTGAAAATAAATTAACACGACCGAATTCGTTTTAACAAATTATATATTTATTAATATAATAGCGAAGACTGCAGGCGGGTTCGAATTAGCCCGTGCGGTCTAGTGAGCGATCAAAAAACGACTAAAAAAGCCATAAGCTACCCAGCCGGACTTTTTCCGATTTTTTCCGACGTCGTCGTAAAGTGTATGGAGTGCGTATATGGGCAAAAAATGGCACGAAATTAAGTGGAATACGTTTCCACTCACATTGTATATAGAAGAAGTATACAAAAACGAAGGAGTGAATTTTTCATTCGGGTCCGTATCTTTTTTGTATCAACGAAGTATATTGGTATAGTAAGTGTGCCGAAGAGCAAGACCGATCGGTATTTATGTACATACATCAGTTGATGCGAAGCCGTGAAACGGAGTGTAAACAAAAAGTGTAAGCACGTGTTTGCGAAATTGAAAAATAAAAAAAGTGAGTGTTAATAATTTTTGTGATCAATTGATATAAAAATAATTGTACATACTAAATATAAAATAATAATGAGAGGATTTTCAAAACGAAATTTAAAAATGCTTGAGGCGAAACACCGGTTGAAGAGAAAACAAGAAATTGCGTGTGATAAGGGCATAGAAACAATACCCGTAGAATTTCCAAAAGAAAATCAAGAAAGTGCACATATAGAAAACGAAATTGAAGAAATTGGTGATGTAAACGTGAAACTTTCATTGAAGGAAAAATTAAGACTGTGGTATAATTTGTACAACCCTTCTAGAGACTGTAGTAATGCTCTGTTAAAAATATTAAATTCTGAAAATTTAGATGTGCCCATTTCCTTGAAGGGTCTACTTGGTGGAAGTAAAAAAATAGTTATCAGAACAGTTAGCCCAGGAAGTTATACCCATTTTGGAATAAAGGCACATTTAAATTTTATTCAAAGTAAGATTGATAATTACGATGAGTTAATTTTAGACGTAGGAATTGACGGTCTTCCATTATTTAAAAGCTCGAGGACTTCCTTATGGCCAATTCTAGGTAATTTTGTTAATGTCCCAAATTCACGCGTATTTATTATTGGGCTATATGTTGGATATCAGAAACCTTTCAATGTGGACAATTTCCTACACGATTTCTTTTATGAAGTCTCAGAGCTGTTTTCTATGGGTTATAAATGCAAAGAGAAATACATAAAAGTAAGTATAAGGGCATTTGTGTGCGACGCACCAGAAAGGGCTTATTTATGTGGAATTGTTGGCCACAATTCATTAAATGGTTGCTCAAAATGCACACAAACCGGGGTCCGTATTGACCACGTTACGACATTTAGTCCTTTCTGCGGCACCTTAAAAACTCAAGAAAACTTCAGAAGCAGAGCTTATGGAAATTTTCATAAAGAATATTTTAAAGATAAGAGCTCTTTGTTGGAAAATTTAGGTATCGATATGATTAAGCAATTTCCGCTGGACCCCATGCACCTTTTAGATCTTGGCGTTTGTAAGAAGATGCTAAATTGCCTAATGAAAAAGGACACAATTTATTTCAAGCTACGTTCAGAGCAGGAGGAGATCATTTCTCAACGATTATTGTCAATGAAAATATTCATTCCCATAGAATTTTCCAGGAAACCAAGAGACCTACAAGACTTGCCACGGTGGAAGTCTGTTGAGTTTCGACAGTTTTTGGTGTATACGGGTATGATAGCTCTGAAGAATATCATTGACGAAGACCTTTATTATCATTTCCTATTGCTAAGTTGCGCCTATAAGCTATTGCTATCTAAAACCTATTTCAATTATTTAAACACTGTTGAAAGCATGCTACGGGACTTTGTTGAAAATTTTCCTATTTTGTACAGCCCTAAGAATCTAACATATAATGTGCACAATGTCCTTCATGTGGTGCAATGCGTGAGGGAAATTGGTGATATTCAAAGTTTCGCTGCGTACAAGTTCGAAAATTTTCTGCAGCTTATTAAACGAAAAGTCAAAAATCCAACAAAAATCCTAGAACAACTTCATAAAAAATTTTACGCCAATGACCAATACTTGAAAGAAATTTAAAACAAATTGTTAAAAAAAAATAGTGCGGGCGAAATTACAAACTATTATACGCAGGGATTTTCGCTTTCAACAAAAAAACCGAATAATCTATTTTTGGTAGCAAATACCAAACTTTTAATTATTAAAAGGTTCTTAGAAGAGAACGGTCAATTGTTTGTTACAGGCCAATACCTAAATAATATTAACAATTTTTTCGAGGCTCCGCTCATATCAGGGACAGATCTAGGCATTTATAAAGGCATTTTTGAAAAAGATTTAAATGAAAACACAATTTCTGTAGACCAAATTTCATGTAAATATATGTATTTGCCACTTGAGGATGAATTTGTATTTATGCCTTTATCACACTTTGTGTGAAGTTTTCATCACAACCAAGCCTTTCTAAATATCAGTAAATAAGTAAAGAAATGTTAGCACATCTAAATTTAGACCAATTTTGACTACTTTTCTTTTGTTTTTTAATGTTAATTATTATTTTTTATAAAAGTATAGCTCATTATCAAACTAAAACCATCTAAATCCAGATTTCAACCTGTATTTAAAGATTATAAAAACTTGGAATTGCGATTATTTTTTTTTGTTTATCTTTAAATAAAGTTTGAAATTTGGATTTAGATGGTTTTAGTTAGATAATGAGCTATACTTTTATAAAAAAATAATTAACATTGAAAAACAAAAGAAAAGTAGTCAAAATTGGACTTAATGTTGATGTGCTATTGGTTTGTAGAGCTGCATATGTAAATAAAGAAATAAATAAGCTAATAAAGCTACAATAAAATTTATACATAAATAAATTAATGAGGAAATAAAGAAGTTTTGACATATGTAAATATTAAGGTGGAGTGAAAAAGCACTTTTACAAAAAGTAGAAGTTCAGAAAAAAGTCAAACAAGTAGACTTTATATAACAGAGTTTTTGCACCACCTTAGTAAATACGTTCATAATTGAACGAAAATAAAATCTTACTCAATAAGTAAACAAAGTTTTAGAAAAATAAATACGTTCATACATTATTTCAATACAGCTTAACATGGATAAAGGATTAATACGCAAGAGATATGCTGTGAATAGCGAATTCGAACACCAATCCGTCGATGAACGTCTTGGGCGTATTGAGAAAGCATTGGAGAGAATTGAAAACAGACAAATAAAAATTGAAGGTAACTGGCATTAATTTCTTGCATACTTTTTTTTAAAACCCTAATAATCATTTCTTTTGTTTACAGGATACTTCGCGAATTGAAAAAACTTTGGAGGCAATTAACAATAGGCAAATGAAAATTGAAGGTAACTGGTATTAATTTCTTGCATACTCTTTCAAGACTTATTTAATTTTTTTTTTTTAGAAACCTTACAGGATACCTTGCCCAAAATTCGCTCAGCTGTAGACCAATTGATAAAGAAAAATGTTCCAATTACCACCAAAAAGATATTTCCAATATTGACTTTGGGTGATCTGGAGGAAGCAAACAAGGAAGTTGGCAATGAAATCGAGAAATACGTAAGTATTATCAATCAATTTTATTTTTGGAAATTTTTTTTTCACGCAGTCTCTTCCATACAAAAAAAAACTTTTTGAAAATAATTTATATGGGAAAAATGCAAAACACCTTCAACAAAAAAAATTCTTAAAAAATCAATGCGCTTCTTGACTAACTCCGAATTTGTATTGTTATACTAGAATTTAATGGGCTATAAAATTGCATACTCAAGAAAATTCGAGAAAATCTGATTAAAAAGTTTAAAATGTGCATGAAAATTAATTTAATTTTCGCTTGTTTTGCACAAAGTTTAGAAATTATATTTTTATATTTTTTGTTGTAGAATGAACCACATTTTTATAAAAAATTAGCCGAAAAATATGATAATAGAAATTGGCGCATATATTTTGCGAAATTCGCGGTGCCAATATTTTTTCCCGGCAGTGTATGTATAATGTTGTTTTTTTTGGGCGACTATTCTTTTGCTTCACTCCCATCTCGAAATACCTATAGAACAATTTCCTGAAAATTTGAGCCCTCAATATTAATATTGAGTGCTCGACCAAAGCGTGCAAAGATTTCTCTTTTAAAATACACGTAAACTTTGATTTTTTTCTACAAAGTTCTACAGCTCAGAGGCATTTTATGATATAATCAAAGTCAATGATGGAATTTATTTCTGAATTTAATGTTTTACAAAAGTGTCCAATGCGGCGTAACCCTAACTCCCACTAGCGAGGTAGTACGGGTCACTAAACCCAATTTTTCATAAAATGATCGTTTTTTACTACCTCGCTGGTGGGAGTTAGGGTTACGCCGCACTGGACACTTTTGTAAAACAATAAATTCTGAAACAAATTCCATCATTGACTATGATTATATCATAAAATGCCTCTGAGCTGTAGAACTTTGTAGAAAAAAATTAAAGTTTACGTGTAATTTAAAAGAGAAATCTTTGCGCGCTTTGGTCGAGCAATCAATATTAATATTAAGGGCTCAAATTTTCAGGGAATTTTTCTTTAGGCATTTCGAGATGAGAGTGAAAAAAATAATAGTCGCCCAAAAAAAACTCCTTAATATGTATTCATCCACTATACAAATGATTAATTTCTTATTTTTCAGACTCAAATATTAAAAATAATAATTAATCCGGAAGGAATTTTTAAAAATTTCAATCGAATTTTAAGCGATGAAGTCATTCATCAGTTAAATTATGATGGGGTGAATTCCAAAATTGCCTTTAAAGAGTATAAGTCCTTGAATAAGGCATTGTTTGGTAAGACTGTCATTTATACAAGTCTTAATAAACAAAACGAATGAATATTTTTTTTTGTAGAAGCCACTGCCAAAGAAGGGACTACACATAAAGACTTCGTAAAAGAGATCAGAAACTGTTTTCGTGCATATAAGAGCCGCAATTTCAAAAAATTGTATGACCAAAAGAAAAAGTCAATAAATAGCCAATAGTTATATTTTCAACACTTAAAAATATGATTTTTATTCTACTGGGATAAGCTCATTGCCTAGTGGAGCTTTTAAATACACCTGGTATACCGGTAGCGTATAGAATATCACATATATTTCCCATACACTTTTAATTTGAAATCGTGTGCTGAGTTATTTACTTCTCTATACACCTCCGGCTTTAAGTATGTGTATTAGGCACGAAGTACCAGCACGAGTATGTTCCATACACATTTGTAGTTAACTTTGTTTGTTTCAATACGAGTACATACTGCCAATGACATTTGTTAAGAAAAGTGTATGAGAGTTGTGTATGGAAGACTAGAGTACTCGGTCATACTTTGAGTATAGGAAGAATGCGATTTCGTGTTGTAGACAGGTTCCGCTGGGACGTTGACTGCGCTACTTGCATTTGTTTCGCTGTAGGAGGTGGCTGCGTAACCAAACACCACTCATAGCAAAACATCATTTTCTCGGCTGCTTGAACTAAAATTTAAACCAGAATATATTAAAAATTGCTTAAAACTATTGACCGGTTTAAAAAGTAGACTATAAAAGATTAAAAAAGGCAGCAGTCCCAGCTCGGTTTAAAAATTAAACCCAAATTTTTGACCGTCTAAAAACAAGACTTTAAACACTTTTGCTTTTTTATTTTTATTATTTTGTTGAACATGAAAGAAAAATAAATAGCAATTTGTATTGTATTTAAAATACATTGAGTGGAAGATCAACCTATCCCGACAGCTACATAGTTCGAAAACGCCCTATCTTAGAAAACTTTTCCATAACACCCTATTTCAGAATTCGGTTCAAAAACGCCCTATCTCAGCTGCCGCTTTAAAAACGCCATACCTCAACATAAATATTTTCAATATATATTCAGTTGAGATAGGACGTTTTTGAACCAAATTCTGGAATAGGACGTTCTTGAAAATTTTTCTGAGATAGGGCGTTTTTCAATCAAAATTTAAAATAGGGCATTCTTCAACCAAATTCTGAAATAGGGCGTTCTTGAAAAGTTTTCTGAGATAAGGCGTTTTCGAACTGACTGCCGAGATAGATCGATCTTCCACTTAGGTGTCGATACTTATATTTATTCAATAGTAACGTTAGAGGTAATACAATTACTTATATAAAAAATTTAATCTTTGTAAAAATATATCCATACTTTACATTTTGGCGGTGTCTCAAACTGCGGTTCATAAAAACGATGCTATGGAAAGTTTCTTCCATAGAAAAAATATGGCCGACAGGATATGGCACTTGCTCAAATCGATTCGATACAAGTACTTTTCTTTCGATACCAAGTAGGTATCGAAACAACGATTCGAGTAAAAAAAAGTAGTTGGTATCGAAACATAAGTATCGAGTACATACTCGTATTTACTTGTATGGGAACATCCCAATACATACATAAAAGAAAAATAGAAATCTCAGGGAAACCCTTTCTTATATACATTATTGCATGAAGAGTACGCGTAATAGAAAGATCCCTTTAATTTATGCATACTCTATATTTTCCATATTTCTATCTTATTAATTTCAGGGCTTTAAAAAATTTCATTATCGAGGTTCTCTGTCGTAAATTTTGGAAAAATTTAACATTAAATTGTAAAGCATTTAATCTCAAATTTTTAATTCCGGTTTCTCTAAAATTTTCTTTTTTAATAAATATCTCCGCATCTGATCCACAAAAATATCTTAAACGGATACATGATTATTTAAATCTAAAGTATATATTAAATAAGATTCAATATTTGCTTTAGTGATGAAATTGCTACTTGCAAATGTTAATCGTATATGCAGAATGTAGATGCGCACTGATTCTGCTTGCATTTCCATGTTTATATCATTTATCACTTTAATAACTTACTATAGAAAGTATAAAAAAATAATTTTTCATTGCGGATCTGAAAGAAATATATATAAGCTCCACTGACTTACGCAAAAGTAGTGCCGAAAATCAATCGATTGTGCTTAAGGTGCAGGTTGCTTCCGAAAGGGCCGAAAATAGCACAATTCACACTTATTTTCCATCACTGATACCGAGTGCAAAACTCACAACCAAAAACTCACCGATTAAAATTCAGTGAGTTTTTCGGAAGAGAAGTGTACACAATTTTGACAGCTAAAGCTCATTCACACACTTGCTGAATCGCAAAATGAAGAAGTGTACACAACTATGACAGCCAAAACTCATTCACACACTTCCTGAATCGCAAAATACCGAGTAAACCTTAAATGTATATGGGTCATTTCCAATCAAAAGCTATTTTTTGTCCCACCTTTTTGATTTTTTTTACGATCCAAATAATAAACAACCAACAAAGCTGTTTTTTATTATTGTAAGCGGTTTTGTTTTCCTTTGCGAACGATTATACCTACTCCATATAAAAATATTTGTCCCCGCTCAGGTTATTCAATAATAAACATGAAAAAATGTTTAAACAAAGAAACCATGAAAGAAAGCGGAACTATTTGTGAATGACCACCTTAACTATTATTGTTTTATTCTATTTGCGCCTGAAAAATTTTATCACCATATGCGTGGCTTTCTATTATGATATTGGCCCTCTGAATATTCCAGAATGTCACTTTTTTACTTTGCAGTGATATTAACATTAGTTGCTTTGCTTGTCTAAGTGCAATGCAGTTAAGAAACGCAATAAGTTATTGATCGAATGACATAAGAAATAACTTAATAAAAGCAATTATTTTGTGTTTTTAAGTGAGTTTATCATTGCACCATAGTAAGTAAGGCTAAATATTTCCGGAATGTCACCCAGATTTTTATGCAAGTAACACTAAATGACTGTTTAATGCTTAACGAGTTTCAATGATTTCTTCGTTTTTATATTTTCGTGAAATGACTCTTAGAAAAAAAACTATAAATGTGACATATTTCCAGAATGTCACCTTTATGTAAAAGCGAGTTTTTATTTAAATAGCTTATTTCTCCAAAAGTGTTCAAATGGCATATATGAAAAATTGTTGCCGAAGAAAGATTAAACAAAAACCCTGCCTCCCAAGAAAACCCCCACGTTAATGTCATGAAGAAGGTGGACAAAATTTCAACATTAGATTATCTGATAAATGAGTTTCAAAGTGATATGCAAATGTTTGAAAAGCATGGATTTAATGTTAAAAATCAGTACAATGCTTATCGGTTAGTATACTTCTTTCTAACAGTTTCTAAACTTACTTAATCCTTTAGCTTACTTTTAAAGAAGTGATATTCTGGAAAATATATTACAAAAACGCAAAAAAA